CCTTTGGGACAGTTGAGAAGCCAGGGTAGAAAGGGAAGAGTGGAGATGGGTCACATTTAATCAAAATTCCACGGGATTAGGAATACCAGCAAATATAGACTGTCTGAGAAAAGGAGCTTCTCTGAGATCTCTAAGAGCCAATGCAGGAAGGTGAGCTCCCTCTAGCAAGGCATCTCTCCCCAAAAGATCCCAACAACAAATCAACCAAGATACCAAGGAGAGAGCAGAAGCTGATAACCTGACCTGATTATGATCATCCAAAATTTGCAAGAGATCTGTGATAAGCTGTGGACAACAGTTGCAAAGATGATAAAAAATGCAAAACTGTTGTAAGTGACAGATGAATTCTGGAAACTGAGATTGATCAAGGTGAAACGTGGCATCTTGTCCAGAGCCCCAAATAGGAAGAAGAGAATCTAACCTCTGAGAGTCCAAATAAGGGTTCTCCAGGCGATGGAAAGCCAAGGCATGCTGATCGAATAAATGAGAAGGATAAGGCATAGCAGCACCCTCTCTCGAATGATCAGCAAATCTCCTTGCATGCACAGCAATGTCTAGTGAAGGAGGAAGGACCAAATAATCAGATGATTGATTTTCCCCCATAAAGAAGGAAAAGTTTCATAAGCTACAGGAGAAATACTCAAAATGTTGCAAACTTGATGTACTAATTGTAAAAAGGGAGTAGGAGGTGGAATGTCTGTCCAAGGCTCATGATTAGCTGTCTGAGCAAAAGAAGATGCTGGGAATATAGAGTCTAAATTCTCACCCTTGAATCTCCGCAAACTCAGCCTCAGAACCAACAGGAGAAAAAACACCAGACTGCATGTAAGACTCTACTTCTCTGCGTATGAGAAACTGTATGTCCTCTGTGGAAGATGACCCCATCTGCAATGCCTGGGTAACATCAGACTCATAAAGTGGTATGGGAGGAGCATCAGGCAACTCCATGTCTGAGACGTGAACATGTGTATTCACATTCGAAAAATGTCTCGAAATTTTTTTAAAGTAAAAATAAAGAGACTAGAAAATAAACTCAAGACCCACTAGAACAGGTATAAAAGAAAATGTCAAAACATAGTAATAACACTGAAGAGAAACCCACAATAATCACATAAGACCACTGTTGTACTTTCTGCAGTCAAGAAAAAGTGAATGAGAAGTAACAACAGGGAGCTTACGTATGGATTTGGTATAGAGGGTGCATTGATGTAGGTAGAGAGAGAGAGTCACAAGATTAAAATCGCTATGGGTGATATAGTGAGGTATAAGTCTGAAGAAAGTACAATTCATACCAATGTTTAGATGGGCAGAGAAGTGAAACTTCTGTCGGGATAAAGCTGAAGTGTGAGAGAAGGTAAGAGCATTTTGAAACTAAAGAAAGGCATGGCAAAATCTTTAATCAGTTAAACAAACGTTATACCTGAAACTTACAGTAATTTGAAAAAAACTGTGAAGTAACAATATCTTTAATTTTGTATTAATCATAAAATATTCCAGCAGATACAGTAGCCACAAAGCTCCATGTAGCTAGAAATCTCTCAACTTTATAATTGTCCAGCAGTTACAGTAGTCTCAAAGCTCTCCTTATACATGTTAAGATATACCACACTGTTTCTGCATACAGTTTGGACAAAATAGTGGTTTATATGAAGCTTGAAATGTGTCATTCATATAGAAATTTTTAAACAAAAGTCTATGTATTCATGGAGTTCTGTTATATCAAGAAAAAAAAAAAAAGAAGCAAAGAACAATAGTTTCTGGTGTAAAAGATACGGATAAACATTAAAACTTGAGGTAGCTTTAATCAAGTAAAGTAAGTTATAAGATTGTTCCAAATACAGCACAGAGTTACAATCTTTCAGTGGAAAGATTACCTAGATGAGCTTCCTTCAGAAAGTTTCAAAGGAAGCCCATGGGGTGGGACACCACATCTAATCTCAATCAGGGTATATCCTTTGCCTGTGTATGAGAATGAAAGAGGGAAAAAAAATGCCATTATTGTGTTGTAAGAAGGGAAGGAATAGGTATATGGCTGTCTAAGTTCTTGCAAACAAGCTGTCAGACAGTCAATATATGTAGCAAAGTTGAGACTCCTTCAGACCATACTTTATGTGCTCACCTTTTCTATCATCAGACTCGATGGGTTTTGACCAGCTGTGGGAGAAGGGCACTTATGATAAGTATCTATGTACACCTCCTCTATTTTCAGTCTCCATAGGCCCCACACTAGCTGTGGGAGGAGGGCACTGTACAAAAACATGTCTGTATGTATACTTATATAAAACTGTACTCAACTATCAGTTACTATGGGTCCATTCCTGCTGTAGGTGTAGGGTATATGAGTGATACATCACAGGTGTATACATTGTTTTCACCTGAGCTCTACTGTCAGTCTGTATCAGCCCCAGGCTAGCAATGAGAGGATGGCACTGTATTATATATACACCTCCACTTGACCATCAGTGTCTATAATTAAACTCAATCCAGTGAAATAATGAAAACAGTCACAAATCTCAGCAAATTCAAAACACGTCAGTGCACTACATCGTTGAGGAAAAGAACAGAAATTCATGAGCGAGAATGTAGATGGAGTCACTAAACATGGAAGGGTGTTGCACTCCTATTGGTGGAGCATTCTACTGCATGATGATGTCAGACAGTAGCACAAATTAATGTGGTTTCACATAAGATTAGGTGGGATTTTCACAAGGCTGATGGCTTACAAAACTCTTTGGCAGAATGTGTAAACTATTCCCTGTGTGGAGGTGAGTATTCATTTTGGAACTATATGTTGATGTACTTAGAAATAACCTATCCCCTAGCACTGACAGTTATTGTGTTTGCAAGAATGACATTCAAGATCCTGTACTAACCCTTGGTACCACTTATCCATTGCAAATCATACTCAATTTTATAGTTATGGCTACACCCTACTGTCCAACATTGCAATTTCCATAGCCAGAAGCCTCTAGAAAGGGCAATGAGGTCAGTCTTAGGACTATACATCTTAACCAACATTCCACAAACCTTCCTCTGGTCACAGATTGTGATATTAAAGAACATGTTGCTGCATTGAAAGACTTCAGAGGTGTGTGGTCAAATGAGATTGCTGTGATTGTAAATTCTTTGCTCATCTTTGTTAAGAAAATAGCCACTGACACTGAAAATAGCCATAGTTTTAGCTTTGAAGGCTTTGATATGGACTATCCTTGTATATTTTGGGGCTTATTGCTATCCTGTTATTATCCTTATATAAATACACAGTTGTGTAAGATTTTCAACTTTCATAAAATAGTTGTTAAACATGTCACTTTAGGCACTATAGCTTGGATCCATGGTGATAAATCACTGCATTAGTATCAAATTATTCTCATAAGGTGTGACATCGATTTTTGTGTGTCACATGGTATGTTGAATGCAGCACTGGTTCAAATGATATGTTTATGAAGTCAAAATACTATGTCTATAGTTTCATACAAATTAGAAACTCAAATTACAGATACTGACCAAGCTATAATATAAAATAAGAAGGTCTTATCTTTTCTATTTCTTAAGATATTGCTCACATAATAAATCACATACAGTGGCACCCCATTCATCTCTTTCCAATTTTGAAAATGCTCCCTTATATACACTTACTTCTATATATGACATGAATAATCAATCGGAAGCTCAGAATGTACACATATTGGTTTTCTCAGCCTTTTTAACATTCCTTCCACCATTTCTTTCTTTTGAGTCAAAATTTCAATGAGGTAGGTTGTGTCTTTAGTATGCTTAAAATTTCATATTTTTTTAATTCCCAAATACAGCTTAGTTACTAAGCTTGATAAATTATAGTAGAATTCTATGGTAGTAGTGTAGTAATTTATTATTTTTTGGTTATTCAAAAGTATATATAAAACCTAAAAAAAATATTTTGTTTCGTATCCTCCTCGTGCAAAATTTTTAAAGGCTTAGCAACCTACATCAAGCATCAACCGAGTATAAAGGTTGTAACTAGAAGAGATCACTGTTTGCTTTACTTCTTTATTTACTGTTCTATGTATTAGGAAAAATAACTTTCAGAACTTATTTCAAAATAGCAATAATCTATATACATACATAATGTATAATAATTGTATTTGTGACTGTATTTTACAAAACACTAGTCGACTACAACACAGCCAAGACAAGTTACTTTGTACAGACCAAAAGTTACCTTTATGTTATTTCATAGGGTAACATGAGTGCACGTGACCCATGTCACTGTAACTTTTGTATTGCTAGCCAGGCACGAGTGAAAGGTCAATATAATAAAAAAAATAAATATGTATAATGTTATGAGATTTAAGCTATTTTGTCTAAACATTTTTGTTTTCATGTTATAATTTGTATTCATTCTAGAATGAAAGAGGCATAATTTATGTTTATTTCCAAATTTTTTATGGTGGTTGTGAGATCAGTCAAATTTATCGAACCTGTACAGAGATTGATTACTGAAAATAACAGATAAAATATAAAGTTTTTTTCTTAAGAAATGTTTGGTAATTATCCAGACATTATAAATATTTTGCATGTGAAATTTCAAAATTTTCTGATGCATAAAAGTATTTTTAATCTTAAAATGAAAATTCCTTTGCATGATAGATAGGCAAGATGTGAAGAGAAAAAAAATGCATGAGAGAAACATTGCTTTAAAAACCTTAAGACTTAATAAAAAAATTAGATATTCTGCATATGAAAGCATTGTAATGTTTACTC